TTGACGTCAATCGGATGAAAAGTCATTAAGTTGTCGAAAAAGGATTTTGCCACTCGATTCCAAGTTCAGTAAACGGCCTATAACTTTCAAAAGAAAATTTTTCTCAAAAATCGGCACGCATAACTTTGTAGAGAATTTCACGGCGCGTCGAATGACGTCAAACTTTTTGCTCTGCGACCTTCCCTTCGGGACTTGATTAGTTTTTGGGAGGTTTTTCGTTGGTTGGGTTTTGGATTTTGGCTAAAATCCAGTTTTAAGTATAAAACACTAAAAAGTACTTCATTCGATGCAGTTTTGACTGCCGAATATCGAAACCGTACCTCTCTATGACGTTATGGTGAGGAGTTATTGATTAAATACTGCTAGACTACCGTTTTCGAGGTCTCCAGTCGCTCTCAGTTTTTCGGCTTTTTCACCTCGAAAGCAACTTCGAAAAACGTTTAAATTGTGTTTTGAATTTTAGAGTTGAACTACTGGTAAAACCTTTCCCCTATAAACTAGTGAGGGAAATGACACATTACGAAAATTATATAAACCAGCTAATTGTCTATGTACTTCTGTGTTAATAAGACGAAAGCTATATAAACAAGCAATATTTTGAGTTTTTAAAGTTTTGTTGGTCAAATGATGACAAAAATTATGTTTTGTAAACCAGCGAATATCATCAGTTGAACAATATTCTAATTCAAATTTTGTTATGTTTTCTTATTCTACTTCATCATTACTATAATAATCACGGAAAGCGACAATCATTGTCTGTTTTACACTATCTGTTGTTGGCCAACAAAAAAGTGAAAAGTAGCTCGTAAAAACGTTTAGTCATCGATCATTCGCTAGCGACTAATCGATGGTAGAAAAGAATGAACAAGAAAAATTTGGACCTTTGTTCATACTGACTAAACTGAATATCAATGTAAGAGAAGAACAAATTCTATTTTCATTGAATATTCAGTTCAATCAATATGAACATACGTCCAAATTTCACTTGTTCGAATATTGTTCAAGCTGTTGTAAAGCTAATATGAAATAGTTTATGTTTGACAAATGGTAATACAAACAAGAAAATTTTTCTTGTTCATTCTTTTCTAACATCGATTAGTCGGTAGCGAGCGACCGATGACTAATCGTTTTTACAAGCTACTTTTCACTCTAACAGGCTCTGTCTTTACTTTGGAGCAGTTTGTGATTATATTCTGCCGTAATGGATATTTTATGACCCAAATTCTTGTTATAGCCGTTTGCATTTGGAAAATATTTAATCAGCCTCTCTGCTAAGTATTCAGCGTTACAGAAAGCGACTACTCGGTTATGGTGAAAGAAAATGATAAACCAAAGGATTTCTTTTCAAATTTCCATTCATTGACTGCTCCTTACTGCAGCAACGGATGATAGAGGATTCTCAACTCTCTCATTTTAAGTTCCTTTGTCACAATATAAAGGAAACAGACTAATCATTAGCGAATAGCATGTGATGTTGGCTATAAAGCGAAAAAATTGAGCTGACATCAGTGACTACCCATGTGCTGAAAATCGTTCATTTTTGTCGATTAATCGCGATTCGAAAAAAATCGTCATTTAATTGTGGTTAGCCGCTAATTTTTTCGTGCATCGCGATTAATCGATGATTTTGCCAACCTTCGCGATTAATCACGAAAATCGTCAATTAATTGCGATTAATTGTTGATTTTAAGTGATCAAATGGTTGTGGTTATTCACCGTTTTCTTTTGCAGTAAGGTATGTATATAAGAAACACGATTTCAACGAAAAATACTTATATTTAAATCATCTTTTTATTTTAGAATTCAACGGACTTGTCAAGAGTGTTTTCTATTGTCCCTCAAAGCTCTAAACCGCGAAGCTCACTGGACAGCTGGTATGTGCGCAATGTTTAAAACTGACGCGTCGGCAAGACTCCGACTTCAGCTGGTGCTAAGACCATTGCTGTGTGACGCACATGTCATTATACATTATAAACAACGAAAAAACAGAAAAAAATATGTATTTCCTACGATGGGTTCGAACCTAGTACCTAGAAAAAAATCGTCAATTAATCGATTAATCGCTAAAATCATCTAAAAGTCACTAAAATCGGCAATTAATCGCGATTAAGCGCACGATTAATGGTATGATTTTTCTCGATTAGTTGTCGATTTTTATGCGATTTTTAGTACATGGATAGATCTCAGTTTCGTGACACTAATTCAAGGTCATTAAATTAAATGCTGCATTGTATCTTTTACAATTATAGATGAAACATGCTTAATCATTATTAACATTAGTTTTGGGATTAAAACATAAAAAAAGACTTAAAAAAATGGCTGAACTTCTAAAACCGATAAGTAGCTAATCGAGTTCCGTATTTCTTTTAAAGCTACAGAATTTGTTTTTGTTTTTGAGATCCACTAATTTAGAAGATACTGATGAAACAAAATATTCTGTTCAAAATTTTATTGCTTTTTCGTTGTATTCATCAAATTCTAATACAAACAATGAGGAGCATGAGATTATATTACACTAAAAAACAGTTTTAATTATGCTAAAAAATTTGATAATGCACTAGATTGTATTCGTTATATTGTTGAAAACCAAAGAATACAATTTATATTTATTGTAAAAATCAAAACGAACAGCAACAATGGATTGAGAAAAGTTATTTAAAAACACAAAATAAATTATTGATTGAACTTTCTTATTTTAAAAGTTAAAAGATTTTGTCTTGAATCAAAATAGTACAAATGATTTAGTTTTGAACAAAACATCACTATTGATAAGTTCTTCCAACGAAAATGAAATAAGAAATCATTCCTACTATACTATAATCATTATCATTTGTACAAGTATTATTCGTTTTGCATGGCTCGAACTGTTTAACAAAATCAACATTCTGATATGCTATCAAATATTTCAAGATAAATGACATGGATATTTTTGCATCTTTACAAGTATTATTATTTTTGAATTAATTTGTTTGTAACGTTCAAATTGTTGATCCGGTAGACGAAAATCAACATTGAACTGAGATGGTTTGATAGTTAGTGGACTGTTTATCGAAACGTGAACATAGTGAACTAAAAATTCAAAATTCTTTGTATTGTATACAAACAAAGCATTTCATCGAAAAATGTAACCATTTTCCAAGAGAACTAAGCTTTAAATAATTAAACTTACATACTCTTGCTGTGTACAAAGTGTTCTTGAAATGTGGGTTAAACTAGCGAAAGTAAATCTCAAAGTCCATTATTTTTAGTTTTTTCCAGTCTCATAGTGGTCTACTTGGAGCCAAAGGGTGAGATAATATAACAGGAGACAGTTAACAACTAATGATTTTGCGAACTCAAACAATACATTAACCTGTTTACTTTGTTAAGGTGTTTCAAATCACATATTACCCAAAAGTTTTAGTACAAATAGTTGCACTAAAAAACACGAAACTTCGCGTTCGTCTTTTTTATTGCTAAGAAAACTTATTTTTTTAAATAAGAGGCCAAAAAGTCGGGATTCTGCCCGTAATTCTCACTTTTCTCAAACCGAACTCACTGATGTGTATTTCTATCCCATGCGAGAACCTAAAAGTTTTCGAATTATCACCTTGAAAAATCATCGAGTTTTCACCAAAAAATAAAAATGAACTACAAATTTCGAAATACACAGTTTTTTGGCTTGTTAATTAGGAAAGAATGAGTTTTCTTAGCAATGAAACAGAATTTCAGAAAAAGCGATTCATACTTTTATTCTACATTTCGAGGCGAATCGAATGGCCTAACAGATTTGGCTTCATGTGTTAACCAAAGCTGCGATAGATTTACAAAATGAGGGTGTGAAATGATGATGTGTGATTAAGTCAAAAATAAAATAGTGCTGTAACTTTGAATTTGGAGAACCTTAATTTAATTAAACAAGGTCACTTAAAAGAGTCCTGCGAGGATATGAGCTAAAGAATTAAAAAGAGCAGTATCACGACGACATGTTGGGAGGCTGAAAAAGAAGTCAAGAAGGTGAGAGCAAACGCTGTTGTAAGAGAAAACTCCGATCAATGTGGTGAATAACAGACTAACGTTTTTTCGATTTTATTTCCACTCAATTTAAAACACAACTACACACTAATATACGATGGATGAAAAATTCTGTCGCATATTTAATTCTCTATACGATAACTGTATACATACGATCACAAACAATACAAAAAGAAAGAAATGAATGAACAGCGACGAAAAACTTGACTCCAACAATGATATACATATCCAAACTGGTCGAGAATGACAAGAAAGGAACATGTGATGATATATATGAAAGGTCTAGCCTGTAATAGCTGTGAAGAACAGAAAAAATAGCAAACATGATGCAAGGAGAACAGAAAAAAACGAGTCAACATGATGAAGTTAAATGTTATTATATATATATATACGCACAACAGACATGTGCCTTCTGTAGAATAAGCATTATCTTCAACAATTGAAAACAACTATCACTAAAACAGTAAAAAAAAATGGGCAAACTGGATGGAAAAATTGCTTTGATCACCGGTGGCTCTGAAGGTATTGGTTTGGCTACTGCTGAACAATTCATTGCGGAAGGAGTCGAACATGTTTTCATCACTGGACGTCGTCAGGAAGCATTAGACGAAGCAGTGAAAAAAATTAATAGCAAAAACGTGTCTGCCGTACAAGCTGATGCATCCAATTTGGCTGATTTAGACAAGCTCTATGACATCATCAAGAAACAGAAGGGGCGTCTGGATATCCTCTTCGCCAACGCCGGTATTACCCACACTGGATCGCTAGGCTCGATCACTGACAAAGATTTCGATGCAGTATTCAACGTCAACGTGAAAGGAGTATTGTTCACCGTTCAAAAAGCTTTACCAATCTTTGTCGATGGTGGATCGATCATTTTGACTGGATCTGTCGCCTCCTGTAAGGGAAATCCAGCTATGAGCGTCTACAGTGCTACAAAAGCGGCTGTTCGCTCATTTGCCCGTTGCTGGACGGTCGATTTGAAAGAACGCAAGATTCGAGTCAATACATTGAGTCCGGGACCAATCGATACTCCGTTGTTGAGAGGAGTTGGAAATAATGAAGAGGAAAACAAAAAGTTCATCGAACGTCTCAAATCCTCTACGGCGATGGATCGCGTTGGTACACCAGATGAAGTTGCCAAAGCAGTCGTCTTTCTCGCTTCCGATGATAGCAGTTATGTCACTGGTATCGAACTTTTTGTCGATGGGGGCAGAGCACAGATCTGAGAGACTTTTTACACATTCAGCTTTTAAATAAACACTGTTCAGCATGAATTTTGTAATTCTTTGGCTTTGAGCATGGAGATATAGGCTACAGAAAGGGTTTCCTTTAACGGTTTGTTCAAGATAGCCATAGGTTTCTGTGAAAAAATGGAATAGTTATTGAAAATCTTTTTGTTTTTTGTACTTCTAAATAAAAACAAATATTTTAATAGATTATTAAACACTGTTCGCCAGCGTTTCGTTTAATCAAGAAAAAGCAATTTCCTCCATTCAATAGTAAAAAAATCTACAATAAAAAAGTATGCAACTATGCAAGTCCCAGTATGTACATTCAAAAGTTTTCCTTGACTATTCAAAATCATTCGTGTAGCTACGTTTCGATTCAATTTTTTGGTCGATTGTTTCAAAATTTTTGCTTCTCATGCTTTCTCCTAGATTTTCTTTTCCAATAAAGACCAAATTATTTCGATAGGACATGCTTGAATGACATTTCGAGGATTTTGGTGAAATTTCATATAGTTGATGTACAGTGGTCTTGGGAAAATCTTGAATTTGTCCTGAATAATTCTATATTTTAATTGTGTTCCTGTTTTGATACGATCACAAGATTTCAGGAGCAGTTTGCCTTGAACAACGAGCTGAAATAATTGAACAGTTTGTTGTCACGCACAATGTGATGCCAGCAGAGTGATGTTTCGTGCTTTAGCTGCATTACGCAATCTTCGTTCCTTTTCTTTGGGTATCTGAGTGAAAGCCAGATATATTCGCTGCAAACTTTGATTCATTTTGAACACTTCAATTATCGTGTCAACACTTCGATTAGCACGTTGATCTAATGCACAGAGCATATTGTTTTGATATGTCAAAACATCAAATAACTCTTGCACGCTGCCACGATCACCAATTTTTTATGATAACTCATCCAAAGATGTTTCAATATTTTATTCTCTTTTAACATTTCAACCACGAAATGTGTGCCAGTGTTATTTCTAAATAAAGTAATTCTCACTTTTGCAGAGATGCTCTAATACTCTTACGCTGCGTATTCAAAAGCTAGTGCGGAAAAATGCATACGCCGTGTAACGAAACTCTTAAGTAAAGTATTGAAAATTACCTAATCGATATACTGCGTAACGAGATAACTGAGATATTTGCTCAGTATGCCTAATCCGCGTATTGAGATATTTGAGATATTTGCTCAGTATGCGTAATACGCGTATTGAGATATTTGAGATATTTGCTCAGTATGCGTAATACGCGTATTGAGATATTTGGGATATTTGCTCAGTATGCGTAATCCGCGTATTGAGATATTTGCTCAGTATGCGTAATACGCGTATTGAGATATTTGGTATATCTGAGATATTTGAGATATTTGAGATATTTGCTCAGTATGCGTAATACGCGT